CTTGGTCAGGGGGCCAGCAGCAGGGGGTGGGACTGGCCGGAGGAAACGGCGGTTCCTCCACCAGACACGGCCGCTCGGCATCCTGACCTTGTAGTCCCACGTCCCGCCGACGCCCATCACTATGCCCACCTTGTCCCAATGTGTCGTCGTCGAGTCCCGGACGCGGACAGGGGCACCAATCTCCAGTGGCTGAAGAGGGCGGGCACGGTCGTCATACCGAGCCTTGGCGTCCTGGGCACGTGAAGCGGCGCGGCGGTCGCAGCTCTCGGCTCTGGTCTGCCACTCCTTCGCAAAGGCCTTGGCGTGTGCAGGAACGCAAGAGCGGAGAGGGTGACCATACAGGATCTGGGCAGGGGAGCGTCCTGTGTGGGTGGGAGTATTACGTAACTCCAGGAGTCCTTTGTCAAACGCCTCACAGTCTATGTTGCCTGAAAGGGCCACCTTGAGGATGAGGTGCTTGACTGTCTTGACCGCAGCCTCAGCATGGCCGTTTGACTGTGGGTAGTAGGGTGTTGACACGATGTGGCGGACTCCCCAACGCTCCAGGAATCCTGTAAAGTCCCGGCTGGTGAACTGTGGCCCACCGTCCGTCCGCAGACGTACGGGGACTCCCAGGTCACGAAAGAGGTGCCGGAAGTGGCGAATGGTGGCCGTGGACGTCGTGTCCGAGCCACAGATTACCACCACAGGCCAGCCAGAGAGTCGGTCGGCGACAACTAGGAAATGTTTCCCAGCTGTGCTGAAGAAATCAGCCGACACGAACTCGAAGGGCCTGGTGGGTTCGTCGTCGCACAAGAGGGGCTCCTGCTGTTGACTGGGCTGCATGATCTGGCATGGCTCACAGGCACGGACCGTATTGACGATATCCGCGTCAATGCCGGGCCAGTACACAGCCTGCCTTGCGGGGCGCATGGTGGCCTCTGCTCCACGATGGCTGTCGTGTAAGCGGGCCAGAACGCGACGACGGAGAGCTGCAGGGACGACCACACGGGCACCGTACAGGACGAGGTCCCCATCTGTGTAGAGGTCCTCAGGTATCTTCCAATACGGGCGTAGGGCGTTGTGGAGGTCAAAACGGTCGCGAGGGAACCCAGTCCTCACACTCTCCAAGAGCTGAGTGAAGGAGGGGTCGTTGCGTGCAGCGGTCCATAGTTCCTCAAGGGCCAGATCGCTGTCGGGTGGCGACACTGAGGCCTGGGTGCTGGCGAGGGACTGTACGGTCTGCAAGGTGACGATGTTGCTGACGGAGAAACCGGCCTCGGTGCTGAGCATCTCGTCTTCAGGTGTAGGGTGGCTGACTGGGGAGCGGGAGAGGGCATCCGGGATGCACAACTCCTTACCTGCGCGCCAAGCTGCGGTGAAGACGAAGGCCAAAATCTTCTCCTTCAGGCGCTGGAGGCGGAGATTCTCGATGGCGTCCAGCGAATAGTGATTAAGAATGGGGACCAAGGGCCTGTGGTCTATGATGAGGTCGAAGTGCTGTAGGCCAATCAAGTAAAATTTGCACTTCGATAAGGCCCATACCACTGCCAGCAGCTCCAGCTCGATGGTAGCGTAGCGAGACTCAGCATCGGTGAGGAAGCGAGAGCCACACTGTACGAGCCGGTACTTTCCTCCACCGTGATCTTGGAGAAGGGCATAACCAACCCCGTACAGGCACGAGGCGTCTGTCTGGAGGACGGTGGGGAGCGCTGGGTCGAAAGTAGCAAGGATAGGTGGACTTGACAGGGCCTCCTTCACCTTTTGAAAGGCGAGGTCGTGGTCAGGGGTCCACGTGAAAGTCCTCTTGGGGCTCATTAGGGGGCGGAGAGGCCCGGCAGCGGCGGAGACGTCAGGAGAAAATTCTGCCAGCTGGTTCACCAGGCCCATGAAAGACCTGAGATCCGTAAGGTTGGCAGGTTTTGCAAAGTCCGCTATGGCGCGAACTTTCTCCGGGTCTGCAGCAATGCCATCCCTTGAGAGTCGGTAGCCGCAGAAAGACACTGCAGGTGCGGCCAAGACGAACTTCTCAGCATTCAGAGTGATGCCGTGCGTCCTATACCTGGTTAGTACCTCGTCGATGCGGCGAAGGTGCGTCAGGCAGTCCTCATCGTAGAGGAGGACGTCATCCACTACCTTCACGCAGTTGGTCACGCCTTGAAGTGCCATGTCACCACGGAGACAGAAGGCGTCCCCCGTAGCAGCGAATCCCATAGGGCCACGGTAGTAGCGGAAGCGTCCGTAAGGCGTGATGAAAGTGGTCAGTGGCTGATCCTCCTTCTTCAGTGGGATCTGCCAGTAACCACAGAGGGCGTCCATCGTCGAGAAGTGCCGTACCTTCGGATCCACACTCCGTATAGCTGCAAAAGGTGTGGGTGAAGGGTGGGCGGGACGGGACACCTGGCTGTTAAGTTTAGACAAGTCGGTAGTAATCCGCACTCCACCGTTAGTCTTAGCCACAGCGACTAGAGGGTGGCACCAAGGGGATGGGTCGTCACCAACGGGTACGATGACACCCTGGGCCACCATGGAATCCAGTTCCTTCTTGACTAAATCCCTGAAGGCGAGAGGAATCAACCGGGGAGTGTGTATGGCAAACGGCTGTGCATCTTCCCGCAGGTGTATCCTCATAGGCGGACCCGCCATAGCCTTCAGTGGCGCGGTCCATAGGGCCTCCTTCGTCACCAGCACATCCGAGTACTCCTTCAGGAAGTAGGCCCTTGCGGCTGAAGGAGACGTCTCGCTGTGAAGAGGAAGCAGCCGTGACTTGGGTGGAGGCGGGGCGGGAGTGGACGCGGGTTCTTTATCATGTTGCAAAGGATACTGGTATTACCAAAGTTTGGATGGACCTTGGATTTAGCGGCAACAACTCTCGTATATATATAGATGTTACTGCTCTTACTTCTAACTTAGGAGAGACCATCTACCATACCTTTAAAACAGTGAATAATGCAAGATTTGCTTTGTTTAGGCAAAATAATGCCCCTGCTACTCATCGGCATCCACTTGAAAATATTAAGCGTTGTGATCCGAGCCTTCTTACACCTTGCAGATCAGTTTTGACTGAACAATTAAGCTTACAAACTACAGTATGTAGCATCAGAATGGAATAAGGTAGACACAGCAACTCCAGTACAGTGGCATGCAGAAGACAGCGGCTGGGAACTCAAACATGGGCGGCTCACAATAAAATGGTTTGAAGGTAATCAGATGCCACAGAAAATATGTGTAGCAATGGATGACACATCCATGTTATTTACAGATGTTAGTGGAGATGAATTAACGTATGAATCATCAGGCGAGTCAAATTATGATTCTGATTGATGCATACTCACAAAGGCTCAATTCATTTTGTAACTATATAATGCTGTGGACGACATTTTATTTCAATTACAGTAGAATTGCTTTTGTTGTTTATTTAGTTCTGGGGTAAGAGGCATGATAAATAGGTACCATATGATTGCTTGAAAAGAAGATTGAGAGTGATTATTATTTGTACATGAATCTTTACAGTGTACCTTTCTTTTTATGTACTTTAATACCCTTAAAGTGCAGGTACGGTATGATATAAACCGTGGCCGGACAGATGGCCGAAGGACATTTGGCCGACGGACGTTTCACCGACGGACATTTGACAGAACGGACATCGAGCCGACGGACATTTGGCCGAACGGACAATAGACCGAACGGACAAATGGCCGAACGGACATTTGACCGAATGGACATATGGCCTTTTTAATTTTTATATTATTTTTCTTTCTTCTTTGCAATGTATATTTTTGCACATTGACTAAAGGATGAAAGATATTAATTGTAATGTAATTGCTTTATAAAAATTGCTTCAGTCTTGTGTTTAATATCTGGTAGTCGTCGGAAATAATCACCATTATTCGGAAATAATCAGCATTATTTTTCCCAATTTCAATTTAACTAAGGTGACCTTACAAAACATGAGGTCAGGTCAAAAACATGACATCCGCTAATCCACACACCAACACCACCACAAACACAAAAGAAAGGGCGACGTAACTAATCATGTTAAGTCAGGTCAAGTATTTGAAAGAATGCTTGTTCGAACTATATAGCCACGCCCCAAACCAACCAAACGTTAGCCCTGCTTGCCTGGACTCTGATGCAGTCGCTCTTCAGAGGTTGTAAAGGTAAGCCGATGTTTTCATCATCATCATCATCATCATCATCATCATCATCATCATCATCATCATCATCATCATCATCATCATCATCATCATCATCATCATCATCATCATCATCATCATCATCATCATCATCATCATCATCATCATCATCATCATCATCATCATCATCATCATCATCATCATCATCATCATCATCATCATCATCATCATCATCATCATCATCATCATCATCATCATCATCATCATCATCATCATCATCATCATCATCATCATCATCATCACCATAATCATTATCATCATCATCACTATCACCAACATCATCACCAACATCATCATCATCATCATCACTATCACCATCATCATCATCATCATCATCATCATCATCACCATAATTATTATCATCGTCATCACTATCACCAACATCATCACCAACATCATCATCATCATCATCATCATCACCACCATAATCAATATCATCATCATCACTATCACCAACATCATCATCATCATCATCATCATCATCATCATCATCATCATCATCATCTAATATTTGTTTCTTTTAAGACCATGGAATTCATACCAACGACAAGAGGAGGAAGAAGGCTTTTGCTTGATGGCTACGCCTACATCGTTGATAAACGGAAAGACAATGTAATATATTGGCGATGTGAACGCAAAGGAAGTTGTTGCGGACGATTAAAAACAGAAGAAGACGTTATTCAAGGAGAAGCAAGTAATCACTCACATCCGCCTGATGCCGGACGTAACCTGTCCTTGAAAACAGTAAAGAAAATTTAAGAGCCAGACAGTCGGAGGAAGTGACATCGACTATTATACAAAACTGCACCAGTGAGTACCCACTTGATGCTGCAGGTGCTCTTCCTAAAAACTCTGGCAAGAATGGTGCGCAGACAACGCATGGTACCAGACGGGGACTTTTTAACTGACGACTTACGGAAATCAATTAGAGGAGAAGACTTAATCATCCATGAAAGTGACAACCTCCTAATTCTGTCAATACCTCTAAACTTACAGCTTCTTGCTTTCAAAGACCACTGGCTGTGTGATAGCACATTTGATTCTGCGCCAGTAGGCTTTCAGTTATATACAGTGCATGTTATGCTGGATGAGAGCCATACAATTCCCTTGGTATACTGCATCGCAAGGAACAAAACCCAAGCAACTTATGACTTGATTTTTAGCACCCTCAAGCAAGTGAGACCAGATCTCAATCCTGTTTCAGCCACCAGTGACTATGAAAGAGCGGCTCTTAATGGCATCACAACATGTTTCCCAAACACAAATATTTTTGGATGTTTTTTCCATTACGGGCAGTGCTTGTGGAGACAAATACAGGGCTTAGGACTACAGACTTGGTATAATGACCCAAGAAAAGCACTCATCGTCAAGTCCGTTCAAGCTTTAGCATTTGTGCCAGTCAGTGACGTTACTGAAAGCTTCAATGAATTTGTCTCAGCACTAGATGATGAAACTGATGAACTTCTATCTGAGTTTCTTGGCTACTTTGAAGCGACATGGATTGGTGTTGTACAGCGTGGAAGACGACGAAGACCAGCATTCGAACTCAGGCTGTGGAACATATTGGAGAGAAACACACAAGGCCTTCCACGGACAACAAACTCTTTTGAAGGATGGCACAGAGGGTTTGAGCAGAGAATGGCAATCACCCACCCCACTGTTTGCCGTCTTGTTTCAAAACTAAGAAAAGAGCAGTCGGATTGGGAGTTGACAATTGAACAGACAGCAGCAGGAATGGTATTGAGGAAACCGAAGAAGAAGCACCAGATATTAAACACAAGACTGAAGTCTGTCATTGAGAAATATGAGGAGTATCCCAGAATCGACTTCTTGAGAGCAATTGCCCACAATCTTTAAATATTTATGAACATTTCGTTTTATACATTAATTTGTATAAAGCAATTACATTAAAATTAATATCTTTTATCCTTTAGTAAATGTGCAAAAAAGAAAATGTATATCTTGCAAATGTATCACGTTGCAATTATGTTATCTTTTTATACTTTGTTTTACAAAGCAAATACATTGCAAAGAAGAAAAAAAGAAAAAGGCCCTATGTCCATTCGGCCAAATGTCCGTTCGGTCATTTGTCCGTTCAGCCAAATGTCCGTCGGCTCGATGTCCGTTCGGTCAAATGTCCGTCAGTGAAACGTCCGTTGGCCAAATGTCCTTCGGCCATCTGTCCGGGAGCCGATATAAACATGATTCGCCATTGGCATATAATTCAGAGATTGTAATCAAATAGACAGTTTGTCTACAGTTTAACTTGTACCTATAGTGTGATTCTATATGATTTAGCTTCTATGGTTCTATTAGCTTCTATGGTTTTTATATGTTTTAATATGTAATATATATGTTTCTATGGTTTTTAGAATGTATATTTTTATTAATTATAAAATTCCAACACAACTGCACAAAATAATAAGGTCAATTTGCAATTATGGCGATTATATTTCCCTGTGTGTAAAAAAGTCGCCACAGTGCAGTACAGTTTTTAACCCTTTGCCACAGGTTTTTGGCCAGGCTTTATCAAGTAAGAAATTATATTTTTACTTACTCGTGTAATATACATTTAAAAAATACCACCAAACTTTTTGGCCTCAGACGGGTGATTACCCCCCCCTCCCCCCATACCTCTTTCTCTGTAAGTACCCTACCTCTCCCTCACCCCGATATAGAGCTTAACAGGAGGATTTTGAGGGAGTGTTTAGTCTAATAATGAACGGAAGGGGTTGAGAGACAGTGCTGGAAAAGGAGGGTTGCCAGGGTCCTTCATCCTCCATCCTTTCATTACAGTTGGTGCTGTACTGAAGAGATAGGACTTTTACTCACCATGGAGATAGCATGGTTGACATAGCCTGTAGTCACGCCCATCTCCATCAACGTCTGGATTTGCTTCAGCTGTTCAGGCAGTTTCTTGTAGCGAGACAAAAGATTCTCATAATCATCACTGGTCTTAAACACCATCCATGTGATCAGACGCTCAAAGTCCACATGGATTCCTTCGCTATAGGACAACGGCACCAGGAAGCTGCAAGTATAGTATGGTATGACACACTTAGGATGTAGTGAGCCTCATAATATGTGTTAACTAATAATAATAGTACAACTGACCCTTGGTAGGGGAAGCCATCCATGTAGGTGATCAGCTCGTTCTTGAGGGCCCTAATGTTGATCAGGTTGTCATGGTCGGTGATGTTGCTCTCCAGAGCCTCAGCTTGGTCGAGGAACACCTGGCACTGGTCGTAGCGGCCCTGGTAGGCTTCTAGAGACATGTCGTCCAGCTGGTCGTCATAGTCATGGATGCCAACCTATATAATGACACAAAACTCATTACTACTGTCAAGCAAAGGGAAGGTGAGTTATACCTGTCCATAAATATGCTTATTATAGTACCTGTTTATTTATTATTTCTTTGACAGTTCTTAATTCAACTATCTCCTATAGGCTCCCGGTCACTTGGCCAACAGACGTTTGGCCGACGGACATTACACCAACGGACATTTCACTGACGAACATTTGGCCGAATGGATATTTAGCCGAATGGACAAATGGCAGAACCTAACCTAACCTAACCTAACCCTAGCCTATACAAATGTGCAAAAAATATTTTTCTATCATGCAAATGTATCACATTGCAATTATGTATCTTTTTATCCTGTGTTTTATAAAGCAAATACATTGCAAAGAAGAAAGAAAAATAAAGTAAAATAAAAAGGCCATATGTCCATTCGCCCAAATGTCCGTTCGGTCTATTGTCCGTTCGGCCAAATGTCTGTTGACTCAATGTCCGTTCGGTCAAATGTCCGTCGGTGAAAAGTCCGTCGGCCAAATGTCCTTCGGCCATCTGTCCGGCCACGCTCCTATAGTATAAATAATACAAACCTTTCGTATTAATACATTTTCTGGAAGAAATATGTAGATAAATATGACACAACTGTCACGATGATGATAATCCCATATCACTAACAAAACTGTTGCTTACAAGAAGATGAATGGTGTTACAGATTGATCAGCTAGTTTGGCGTAGACAATTCCAGATAAATAATTAAAAAAAAGAAACTCATCAGTTCCACAAAGATAAAAGTTACTCACAAAGGAAGCAAACTCAGGCTTATTTTTCATTCGCCAGTTGAAGTAGTCGTCAGCAAGCTTCTGCACAGCTGGCTGCAACCTGGCACAACTGCCACTCACCGGCACTCCACCCACATTTGCTGGGAGTTAACAAGATATACATTTAATTTGTTATGGTGTAATTACAACTAATGTGTCTATGCAAAGCAACAAGAGCTGGATGAAGTATACTTCGTATTATCTAGTATTCTAGTTAGTCTCCAAGAATAGGACTCAGAGTGACTGTAAATACCATTCATTAGGGGCGTGTGATGTGTGTGGCGGTGTTCATGGCTCGTCAGATGTATGTTTATGACTAATTTTTAAAGTTAGAATCTTATGTATGTGGTGCCTAGTGTATGTAACATCAGATGAGATCTCCACTTATTACAGAAGTTATTTGCCAAAAAACTAAGTGCAAGAAGCAAATTTCTCGCTGCCTCGGTTAAGCCCATACCGAAGAAAGGTGACCATTCCAATTCCATTGCCATAAATTCATCCCTCTCTATGATTTTCTCCGTCACCTTGAACGCCTTTTTTTTTGTCGGATCACCAGTATGGCCTTCGCCAGGCGAGATCTACTGGTGATCTGCTCTCCTACTGCACCCATCTTTGGTCATCCTCTCTTAAGGATTATGGGGAAACTTTCGTCGTGGCCCTCGACATCTCCAAAACATTTGACAGGGTATGGCAAAAGTCTTTGCTCTCTAAACTTCCCTCTTATGGTTTCTCTCCCCCACGTTGTTCTCTAATTTCTAGCTTCCTTGAGATTCGATCCACGGCAGATGTTGTCGAGGAATCGATCTCTCGCTCTTTCTCTACCAATAGTGGTGTCCAACAGGGTTCTGTTCTTTCACAAACTTTCTTCATTCTCTTTATCAATGATTTACTTCACATTACGACTAATTATATCCATTCTTACGCTGATGATTCTACCCTTCACCCTTTTTTACATTTTTCCCTTCCCTCTATTTCTCAAACTAGATCTGTTTCTAGAGCTGATATCATTTCATCTATCAATGCGAATCTGTGCAGCATCTCCAAAATGGGAGGGTAAAAACTTGGTGAAATTCAATAGTAATAAAACACAGTATTTACCAATTACACTTTCTATATTCGATGATCTCTCACCAATCACATTTCAGGACATAACCATTCTGCCAAATTCTAATATAGATATACTAGACCTTATCATTTCCTCTAATATGTCATGGAAACCACACATCCACAACATTGCTAAAGCTGCCTCCCGAAAGTTGGGAATGCTGTACAGATGCTGTAGCTACTTCGATCTTGAGCAGCTGTTTCAAGTTTATAAGGGATTCATTCGTCCTAACTTGGAGTACTGCTCTCATATCTGGGGTAACTTTTCTTCTGTTCATCTGTTAGTTAGGGTGGAATCAAAGGTATTTCGTCTCCATTTCTCTTCGCCGCAATGCTTTTCGACTCTCTCTCTTTTACAAGTACTTTAACGGGCAGTGTTAGGTGGATTTAGCATCCTATGTACCGCCGGCTAGGCCGTGGGCTCATAACACTCATCTTGCCCGTGGTGCCCACCATTTCTGTGTGGATGTGGGTCACACTAGAATAACCTGTTACAGTACTTCTTTCTTTCCTCACACAGCCAAAATGTGGAATGCTCTGCCTTCTTCTGTGTTATCATACTCATACTTATCTTTAAATCTGTCTCACTTTAGAAAGTCGGTTTTCTGGCATCCTCGTGGTGTAGATTAATATAATCTTTTTCTTCTATTCTTAATTTGTTTTTACTCCTATTTTTTCGCCCCCAAGGCTCCGTTGTGGGTCGATGACCTGTCCCCATTCGAGGTTCACGGCGCCATAAGCTCGTTGAACAGGCTTTGTGTGAAATATAACAGAGCCTAGGACTGCTTTTAGTGTCCTGGTGGCCCAGAGGTAACGTTCCCCGGTCACAATCATAAGATCATGGGTTCGAATCCTGGCAGGGTGAGGTGTTGATTATATGTAGAAGTCCGTATGCTTTATTGGGCTAATGAAATACATATGGATCCTCATGTTTCGAAGCCGGATTTGGTAAAAAGTTACTCTGATCACCTAAGCGGCACGGGTAGTCCCCATTAGAGGATACATTAAAATGTTGTATTAATAATTCAATAAAGGGTGAAATAGGAACCGAGTCTGTGTGGGTAGAAATCACGGAAGGAAGAGAAAAATTAATTATGGGAGTGATTTACAGGCCCCCAAGTCTTGGCAAAGAAGCAGCTCAGCCCATATGGCAGGAAATGAGTAGGGCAGCAAAATATAACAACCTATGCATTATGGGGGATTTCAACTTTAGAAATATTGACTGGGACAACATTGTAGGCGACTATGAATCTGAAGACTTCCTAGATGCAGTACAGGACAATTTTTTGAAACAACTAATTACAGAACCTACTAGAGGTGACAATATATTAGACCTAGTATTAACAAATAAAGAAAATATTATCAGAGATATCACAGTAGGGGAAGAACTAGGTAACAGTGATCACAGAGAAATCAGGTTCACCCTAAATTGGGAAACGAAAAACAATGACAATATGGTCAGAGTCCCAAACTTTCGGTTGGCGGATTATCAGGGGTTAAGAAGGTACCTAGGTGAGGTCACCTGGGAACAGTCACGTCAGTCCCCAGTAGGAAGGGGTGAGGTCATAGATGACACAACAATTGATCATGACTATAATATATTCACTAGTATACTACATAAAGCACAAGAACAAAATATACCATACAGAAAAATTAGGTCAAATAAGAATGAGCCAAGGTGGATGACCAGAAAACTTAAACATGACATAGGAATAAAGAAAGGAATATATAAGAAATTAAAGGGAGGGGAGGAGCAGCTCAGAAACAGGTATAATGAACTATCTAGGAATGTTAAGAAAAATGTAAGGAAAGCAAAGAGAGACTATGAAATCAAAATAGCAAGAGAATCCAAGGTGAATCCCAAGGGATTTGTCCAGGTATATAGGACAAAGGTCAAGGACAAAGTTGGGCCTTTAAAGTCAGGGAGGGGAGAAGTGATAAATGGCAGTGAAGAAATAAGCAAAGCATTGAACAGCTACTTCTTATCAGTTTTCACAGAAGAAATTTACGAGGAAATTCCAGAGGTGGAACTGATATTTAGGGGAAATGAAGAAGAGAAATTAAAGAATATCACTATCAGAAAAGAGGATGTTCTTAAGAAGATAAATAAATTAAAGAAGACAAAATCCCCAAGTCCCGATGAAATTTTCCCTCGAGTTTTGAAAGAGCGTAAGGAACAGATTAACGGACCCTTCGTAAATTTATTTACAAAATCATTAGACATGGGAGTTGTGCCAGGGTTGTGGAAACAGACAAATGTAGTACCCATATTAAAAAAGGGAGACAGAGCATCAGCGTCAAATTACCTGCCGATTAGTTTGACGTCAGGAGTGGGGAAATTTCTTGAATCAATTATAGCAAATAGCATTCGATTGCATTTAAACAAAAGCAAATTAATCTACGACTATCAACGTGGGTTTACAAAGGGAAAATCTTGTCTAACAAATCTGCTAACGTTTTTTAGGAAAGTCTTCGAGGTAGTTGATAATGACGAAAATTACGATGTTATTTACTTAGACTTTAGCAAAGCATTTGACAGAGTACCGCATCAGAGGCTTCTGAGAAAATTAAGGCTGGTATAGAGGGGAAAGTTTTAAATTGGATAAAACCCAGAGGGTCAGCATAGATGGTGTTAAATCTGAGTGGGGTCGTGTAACCAGTGGGGTTCCCCAGGGGTCAGTACTAGGCCCACTCTTGTTCATAATCTACATAAACGATCTGGATACTGGGATCAGCAGTGACATAAGCAAGTTTGCGGATGACACCAAAATAGGGCGGCAAATTAATTCAGGGCAGGATGCAAATGCATTACAGGAGGATCTAAATAAACTGCAGGGGTGGTCTGAAAAATGGCAAATGAAATTCAACACCAGCAAGTGCAGCGTACTTAATATTGGAAGAACAAATACTTATAATGTATACAGCCTTAACAACATCAACCTAGAGAAGTCGACTTGTGAAAGAGACCTAGGGGTACTTGTCAGCCCGGACCTACGGCCTAGAAAACAGTGCGTTAATGTTCGAAATAAGGCAAACAGAGTACTGGGTTTTATATCTAGAAGTGTAAGTAACAAGAGTGCAGAGGTCTTATTGCAACTATATCTTGCGCTAGTCAGGCCGCACCTCGATTATGCGGTTCAATTCTGGTGCCCCTATTATAGAATGGATATCAATTCACTAGAGTCGGTGCAGCGAAGAATGACGAAAATGATTCCGGGTCTTAGAAACCTTCCATATCAGGCTAGGTTAAAGAAACTTAACTTGCATTCCCTAGAAAGACGAAGAGTGCGGGGAGATATGATAGAAGTATTTAAGTGGGTGAAAGGAATCAATAAAGGGGATATAGATAAAGTTCTTATAATATCCGAGCAGGATAGGACTCGGAGCAACGGATTTCAGTTAGATATGTTTAGGTTTAGGAGGGAGATAGGAAGAAACTGGTTCACAAATAGGGTGGTGGACGAGTGGAACAAGCTTAGCAACTTTGTTGTAAGTGCGGGAACTCTGGAAAGTTTCAAAAGGAGGCTAGATAGATTCATGGATGATAGAGACTGGTAGTAACTCTCGACAGGAGCTACCATGCACAGGCCAACCGGCCTATTACAGACTCCTTATTTTCTTATGTTCATATGTTCTTATTACATTCCTTGCAAGGAACCTTATAAATGCAGCCACTTGTATTGTTGGGGGAGTTCTTGATTAACATTTGTTTAACAGTGCATGAGTTTTTAAATGCCACATTGACGTTCCAGGTTTTTAGTTGTAAAGGAATTAGAGATAAATTTTAAATTATTGTGAAATGGTAATACTAAGAGATTCTTATGGTCATGGGTGGGCTTGGGATCGGTTCTATAGAAAGATTTCTTTGTAATGTTAAGGTGTTTGTCTATGAAAGATCTAGGGTACTTAAGGTTCAAGCCAATATTATAGATATATTTATATTCCTCATCAATGAATTCCGGGCTGCAAATTCTCAGCACGTAAAAACATTGATGAAAATACTGATTGTTTGACTCTATTATGGTGGGCAGAATAATAATGAATGTATGAACACACATTAGTAGGTTTCCTATGAATACTGAACTTAAAGGTGCTACCTATTCTGTGGATCAGACAGTCTAGGAAAGGCAATTTACAGTCATGCTCTAATTCCACAGTGAATTTGATCAAGGGGGCTAAGCTAAGTTGTGGCAGGAAAGCTTTTCGGTCCTCATTACATGGCCAGAGACATAATACATCATCAACATATCTAAACCAGACTGCTGAAGGTGGTAAAATATTACTTAATAGTTTCTTTTCAAAGAATTCCGTATATAGGTTGCTTAATACAGGTGAGAGTGGATTACCCATTGTCATACCAAATTTTTGAGCATATAATTCT